GGGGGGCTATCTGGAGAATTTTGGTATGTGCGAGCTTTAGATGGATGGCCGCCGGCGACAGATGCGCGGCGTTGGGCGGGGGTGGGGCGGTGAGGCTGGTGCGGGAGCGCCAACTGCCACGGGCGTGAGAGGCAGGCGGATCGGTCAGTGACAGCAGGGGGTGGCTGAAGGATCAAGAGAAGCATTAGACTGGTTGCGGGAAGAAAAAGGCACTTGAGTTGTTGGATTTTCGTCATGGGCCTGACAAATCAACTGACCACAAATTGTTTTTTAGGCAATTGCGACTAACAAGTTCCATACATGAGATATATGTCGTTAAACAATATCTGGTAGTTATAAATAAGGGTTCAAGATTAGCATTCGAATAAACTAAGTCTAGATTATCCCAATAAGCAATAACCTTTTGTTTGGCTCATATAGGACCCAAGAAGCAAAGAAGAGAACCCTAGTATTCAGTTCCTTTTCTATTACTTGTCTGATTTCACTATAATCTCTTGTATGGTGACTTTTATATACGTGATGTATTGTGATTAAGTCAGACGTCAGTTCATAATTTGCTCTGCGTTGGTTCATATTAATATTTTCTATAGGCATCATAATGTATTGAAAAATGCCCCCCCTCCCTCTGTTCACTCGCTTCCCCCACCACCCGAATAGCGCTCTCTTCTTGCCTAGAAGGAATCTTAACCCTGACCACCCAAAAATAGTTCTGTTCTTGCCTAGAATCCATAGTAGGCATATATTTAGCTAATTTTATGCATAACTAGCATTTTTGCAATGAAACTCAGAACCTTTATGTGATTTGGCACTCATACTGACACGAAGACTGATGACCCACAAGTATAAGGGATTAATTGTAGTCCTTTCGATAAGTAAGAGTGTCGAACCCAACGAGGAGTAGAAGGAAATTACAAGTGATTTTCAACAAGGTATTCTCTGCAAGCACTGAAATTATAAGTAACGAGTAGTTTGATAGCAAGATAATTTGTAACGAGCAAGTAACGGTAACGCTAACAAAAATGCAGTAAGGTAGCCCAGTCCTTTTGAGGCAAAGGACACGCCAAAACGGTCTCTTATAATAAGCAAAGTGTTCTTGAGGGTACACGGAAATTTCATCTAGTCACTTTCATCATGTTGATTCGATTTGTGTTCGCTACTTTGATAATTTGATATGTGGGTGGACCGGTGTATAGGTGTTGTTCGTACTTGAACAAAATCTCCTACTTATGATTAACCCACTCGCAAGCATCCGCAACTACGAGAAAAATATTAAGATAAAAATCTAACCATAGCAATAAACTTTTGGATCCAAATCAGTCCCTTACGAAGCAACGCATAAACTAGGGTTTAAGTTTCTGTCACTCTCGCAGCCCATCATCTAATAACTACTCCACAATGCATTCTCTTAGGCACTAATAAGATGAAGTGCCATGTAGTCGACGTTCACATGATACCACTAAGGGAATCACAATATACATATCATCAAAATATCGAACACATATCAAGTTCACATGATTACTTGCAACAAGGTTTCTCCCTTGACCTTAAGAACAAAAGTAACTACTCACAAATGATAATCATGCTCAAGATCAGAGGGGTATTAAATAGCATAATGGATCTAAACATATAATCTTCCACTGAATAAACCATATAGTAATCAACTACAAGATGTAATCAACACTACTAGTCACTCACAAGCACCAATCTAAGGTTCTGGTACAAAGATTGAACACAAGAGATGAACTAGGTTTTGAGAGGAGATGGTGTTGTTGAAGATGTTGATGGAGATTGCCCTCCCCAAGATGGAAGAGTTGTTGGTGATGCTGATGACGATGATTTCCCCCTCCGAGAGGGAAGTTTCCCCGGCGAAATCGCTCCGCCGGAGGGCAAAAGTGCTCCTACCCAAGTTTCACCTTGAGACGGCAGCGCTTCATCCTGAAAGTCCTCTGCTTACTTTTTTTCTAAATGACTTATATACCAGAAGAGGGGCACCAGAGGTGGGCCGAGGAGGGCACAACCCACCAGGGCATGCCTGGGCTCCCTGGTGTGCCTGGGTGGGTTCCCACCTGGTGGGCCCTCTCTGATAGTTATTTGCTCCAACAATTCTTAAATATTCCACAAAATATCTTCATGAAGTTTCAGCTTATTTGGAGTTATGCAGAATAGGTAGCTCTGACGTGGTTTTTCAGGTCCAGAATTCCAGCTGTCGGTATTCTCCCTCTTTGTGTAAACCTTGCATATTATGAGAGAAAAGGTATTAGAATTACTCCCAAAAGCATTATTATGCATAAAAACATTATAAATAAAAGTAGCAAAACATGATGCAAAAATGGGCGTATCAAAGACATATGTTTATTCATCATTTATTATGTACCTTGTAATGTTCATAGAACGATGTGGCCTCTCCGGGGCTCTTCTCCTCTTCAAAGTCCTCATTTAGCTCGTGTAGATGTACTACTCTAAAATTTTATAGTGATATTAGGGTTTCGAAGGATCAAGCATAATGATTTTTCAGAAGTTTAATCTAAAGTTTGATGTCTCTTGGAAATTTAAAATGTTATCATTTGCAAAGATATGATGGTGTGGATGTTTCCCTTGTAGAAACTTTTAGTATAACTTACAAATATGACCAACTTATTTTATGTTCTTCGTATTAAACTTTAGCTTGTTCCTCCTTCGTCATCGATTAAAAGAAGTGATTTGTTGATATCTGAGTAATATTCGAAGTCAACTGATACACATAAAATTGATTGGGTTTGCTATGTGATGGAACCATTTGGTTTGATGTGTTGCTTTCTATTTCGTGAGAAAGGCTTTCTCTAGTAGCATAAACAAGGGAAGCATCGAAAATGTCGACCCGAGGGGTGGGGGTGAATATGTGACTACATGTTTTATTCTTTTTTCAGTTGATTTTATGGATTGCAGATAAGTTATCTATAAATGTAAAAGAGGTACATCCTATATCAAAAGCAATCTATCAAACTAAATTACTCTAAGAACAAATAATGTGTGGGGGAGGAATAACCAAATAGACAAATATATTATGATGTATCCCGAAGTTGAGGTCCTTAGAAGAATGCTAGTCTTCGTTGGAGAGGCAAAGGCCCAACAAAGCACCTACCAACACAAAAGTCTCACTGTATTCTCCTTGAGCTCTGGTCAATCAAGCATAAGCTCAATCACTAAGGTGGCATCCAACATTCACAAACTTGGAGGCAAACCACAACTTGGAAGCTCACT